TTCTTAAATAATTATAAGTTTAATATAAATTAGAATGACAAAGTATGTTAATGTCATTATAAGTAATTTTACATGTTAACAGTTAATTAAATTAGTTAATTTTACCAAACCATTTTTTATAAACCGCTAACACAATCAGCTGGTCAAAATAGCCAACGCAATCCGCTGGTCAAAACAACTAATGCAATCTGCTAACAGCTAACAGCTAACCGCTGATTACCAAACAAGACCATAATTATTTCTAAATAAATATAGCTCTAAGTCCACTCCTTGAAACTAGTGGTTTCGTAATATTTAGTTGAAAAATTAATTATTGGAGGTGAAACATGTTAGTTAGTTAATAACTAATTCCCATATATGGAAACCACACAAACTAGAAACCTAATCAAATAACCATTTACAACAGTTATACATCATGGCTAGACATTTTTGTATATATTGCATGTCACCATTGTTCGACTTGTTATGATATACTCAAATCTTTGCATATCTCTAGTTTATTTTGTTTCCTTCTTTTAGGTTTTGTACTCTATATATTCGTACTCATGTATTCAGTTTACGCAAGTGAGAATAAGATCTCTTTGATTATCACATGGTATCAGCCAAACTCTTTGGCAAACCCTAATCTTATTCCATGGCCGCCGAGGGTAGCATTCCTTCGATTCCTTTGTCTACAATGATCCATATGGTAAATATCAAACTCACTTCCGCAAATTACCTCTTGTGGCATACCCAGATCGAACCCCTTCTCATCACCTAGGGTTTTCTTCTGCATCTGGATGGCTCATCCCCATGCCCATCGCGCGAGATCACTACACCGGCAGGTACAAAAAGTACGAATCCCGACTTCACCACTTGGTATTCCCGGGATCAACTAATCCGGCTATTTCTTGTTTCCACTCTTACGGAGGAGTCCATGGCCGTTGTTATTAGTTGCACTTCATCCCGTGATGTCTGGACCTCTCTGACTCGCGCCTATAGTCATGCCTCGAAGGCTCGAGAACGCAGCATGAAGGACGATCTTCTCTCGGTCAAGCGTGGGGATCTCTCGGTTTCTGAATATGGACAGCGTTTCAAGGCAATTTGTGACAAACTTGCTGCCATTGGTCGGTCTATTGATTCAACTGACAAATCTCACTGGTTCCTGAGAAGTTTGAGGCCTGCTTTTTCGACGTTCACGGCCGCGCAACTTGCTCAGGAGCCTCTTCCTGATTTCGACACACTTCTTGCCCGCGCCGAAAGTCACCAATTCTTCCAACGTTCATCTGACATCTCGCCATCGTCGTCTTCGGTTGCATTTTATGCTGCTCCTAAGGCCCGTCCTCCGACGTCGTCTCAGCCACAAGGACGCTTCAAGAAAAATAAAGGCAAAGGTCCTCGTCCGCCGTGGTGCTATTTCTGCCGTGAAGAGAACCATGATGCGTGGGACTGTCCTAGACATTTTGACCGCTCTTTCACTCGGCCTTCCCGATCCTCTACTACAGCTAATCTGGCCGAAGCACTATCATCAAGCTGCTCTATATCGCAACTTAATGTTTCTGATTGGTACTTAGACACTGGGGCTTCTGCCCATATCACCTCGGATGCATCTCAGCTTGATGATCTTACTGATTACAACGGATCTGATCGTGTAACAGTGGGTAATGGTGATCAGCTTCCTATCACGCAAACTGGTTCTATTATTTTTCTCTAATTCATTTTATTTACGCGATGTCCTCGTTGTGCCCGGAATGACTAAGAATCTTTTGTCTGTTAGCAAATTGACCAGAGACTCCATGTTATCTTCACTGACTCTTCCCTTCGTATTCAGCACAAGGACAGTGGCAACATAATCGCAACCGGCGTGCGTGATAGTGGCCTATACCGTTTAGATTTGGCGGTCAAGTTTTTTGCTGCTCACACATCCATATATCGGCGTGCTTCCTCGGAACTTTGGCATTCCAGACTTGGACACTCCTCCCCAGCTATTTTATCTACCTTAGCTAATCTGAAGATGTTATCTGTTACTTCCAGTTTTTCTAAGTCCGTCTTATGTAATTCGTGTCATTTAGCTAAAAGCAAGCATCTGTCATTTCTTATTTCAACAAAACGATCTTCTGCTTTATTGGAGTTAATTCATTGTGATTTATGGGGACCTTCCCCGGTTACTTCTACTGCTGGATTTCGGTATTATGTTATTTTTGTGGATGACTACTCGCGCTTTACTTGGTTCTACCCTCTTCATGCTAAATCAGATTTTTATGAAACTTTTATAAGCTTCCAGTCATTTGTGGAAAATCAGTTCTCTTGCACCATAAAGCGTTTTCAAAGTGACGGGGGTTCGGAGTTTGTTAACAATCGTGTTAAAGCACACTTTTCTAAATGTGGAATTCACCATCTTCTATCTCATCCGTATACTCCGGAGCAAAATGGTAGAGCTGAACGGAAGCATAGACACATCACGGAGATGGGTCTCACTCTTTTGTTTCATTCTTCAGCTCCTCTACATTTATGGGTTGAAGCCTTCAGTACTGCTGTGTTCACTATTAACCGACTTCCTTCACCGGTTGTTGCAATATTTCGCCATTTGAATGTGTCTATGAAACCCAGCCGAGTTATGATCTCTTTCGCGTTTTTGGTTGTCGGGTTTTTCCGTGTCTACGCGACTATGTGAAGCACAAGCTCCAACCTCGCAGTCAGCCGTGCATCTTCATCGGCTATAACCCTTCTCACAAAGGTTTTCGATGCTTGGATCCGTCGAACTCGAAGGTCTATGTCACTCGCCATGCTCACTTTGATGAATCGTGCTTCCCTTTCTCCGCACGCACATCTTCGGTTGCTCCTTCTTCTTTGGATATTTCAACTTATGTTGATGGTTTTCTTGCTCCAGACACCGGTCCACTTTTCCCATCACCTGCTCCGCCACAGGCTCATTCCGCTTGCCGCATATGTGCGTCGAGTGACTTGGTCCAGCCATCCGTTGTTCCACCACTTACTCCTCCTGTTCCTAACCCCACTGATGATCTTCCTCACAAACAGCCTGTTGATGCGCAACTCGGTCTCCAGCCGGATACCACGCCACGGGCTCCTCCTGCTGCGCCACGTGCTCCTCCTGCTGCCACGCATCCGATGCAAACTCGAGCAAAGTCAGGTATCTTTAAACCTCGATATCCTGCCACCATTAACTGTGCATCTCTTCTCACTGCTCTTACGGCTATTTCGGAGCCCCGTGGCATCACGGCTGCTCTTAAATCTCCACAATGGGTGCGTGCTATGCTTAAGGAATTATCTGCTTTAAAGGCGAATAATACTTGGTCTCTCGTGCCGCGCCCTTCCTCCACCAACGTAGTCGGTTCGAGGTGGGTGTTTCGCACAAACTTCTTGCTGATGGTTCTGTTGATCGGTATAAAGCTCGCTTGGTTGCTCAAGGGTTTAGCCAAATTCCTGGTTCTTATTTCACTCACACCTTCAGTCCGGTTGTCAAAGCATCCACTATTCGGATTGTTCTTTCACTTGTTGTTATGAACTCTTGGCCACTTCACCAACTGGACGTAAAAAACGCCTTCTTAAATGGTGTTCTCTCTTCTCCGGTCTTTATGGAACAGCCCCTAGCTTCGTTGATCGTCGTTTTCCTGATCATGTTTGTCAGTTAAATAAAGCCATATATGGTCTCCGGCAAGCTCCCCTTTCTTGGTATCAACGCTTCCGCAGTTTTCTGCTTTCGATTGGATTCTTATGCAGTTCTTTCGATACATCTCTCTTTGTTCACAAGAGCGGCAACATATTGGTCTATCTTTTGGTTTATGTTGATGACATAATCATCACCAGCAACGTTCCAACTTTCATTGCAGCCCTCATCTCTCGTCTGCATCGTGAGTTCGCGATTAAGGATATGGGCTCTCTTAGCTTCTTTCTTGGTCTAGAGGTTACTCGTTCCTCTTCCGGCTTATTTCTCAGTCAGACTAAGTATGCCTTGGACATTCTTAAGCGCTCTGAGCTTCAGGACTCGAAGCCCGTGGCTACCCCGCTTGCACCTGGCTCTTCCATGACCAAACATGGTGATCCTTTAGACAAGCCGCCACTTTATCCTTCTCTTGTTGGTGCGCTGCAATATTTAACAATCACGCGCCCAGATATTGCTTATTCGGTAAACACTGTCAGTCAATTCCAGCAACATCCAACCATTGATCATTTCTAATCCGTCAAGCGGATTCTCCGTTGCGTCAAAGGGACGCTGAACTATGGTTTATCTTATTCTGCTGGTCCTTATTCTCTTGTTGGATACTCCGACGCTGACTGGGCACGGTGTTCTGACACTCGTTGCTCCACCTATGGCTATGCCATTTATCTTGGACCCAATCTAGTTTCCTGGAGTGCGAAGAAACAGCCAACTGTGGCTCGCTCTAGTTGTGAGTCTAAATATAGAGCCATTGCTTACACTGCTTCAGAAATACAATGGGTTATGATCTCCTTCGAGATTTGCATGCGGTTCCCACATCCTCTCCAACGCTCTACTCTGATAACACAAGTGCGCTTTTTCTCACTCAAAATCCAGTCTCGCATAAGCGCGCAAAGCACATTGATATCGATTATCAATTCGTTCGAGAGCTTGTGGACTCTGGGCGTCTATTCACTAAATTCATGGAGTCCGACAATCAGGTGGTGGATATATTCACGAAGAGCTTGTTGCACGGTCTCTTTGATTATTTCAGGACCAAGCTACGCATTTCTGTTGCAGACACGACTTAGCTTGAGGGGGGTGTTAGACTTGTTATGATATACTCAAATCTTTGCATATCTCTAGTTTATTTTGTTTCTTTCTTTTAGGTTTTGTACTCTATATATTCGTACTCATGTATTCAGTTTACGCAAGTGAGAATAAGATCTCTTTGATTATCACAACCATACACGTCCTTCAAAACCATTAAGTCCTTTCAGTCTCTCTTCCACATCCATTCCTATAAATACACATCCTTAGTTTTAAACAAGACAGAGAAATCATATACAAGGTTTGATTAAGCCCAAAGCAAAACCCAAAGGAATAAAAAAATGAGCCACCTCTACACTTTTGTCTTGCCTTCACTCGTCATGAATCTCATTTTTTGTGCACAATTATGCAATTCGGGAAGAGTATTTTATAACCATACACAACCTCTAAAACCAAATAAATTGGTCACACCAAGTCATCTTTTTTAGATAGGTTCTATCCTTGCCCCTGACAATTCCAGGTGCACCTTGGATAGCAGTCTTTCAGATTGTGAAAACAAAAATCCACATTTTTGTCATCCTAGTATCCCAAATGCACATGATCTTGATCATTATCACGTCGAGTTATCGAAAAAAGCAGCACAAAACCCGCCTATTAATCCTTCGTGAGAGGGGTCTTGTCCCTCCATCAGGCTCTTCAGGCTGCACATACATTCCCGGTACCGGGGGCCCAGACTGTCCTGGCAAGCTGCATTCACCTCGTGCTCCACCGCCTCCGCGACATTACATCTTGGACACATATGGTCTTCAACTTGGTCATTAAACTAACTTGTTGAGGAACAATTTGTTTATGTATGTCACAGAAAAAAAAAAAGAGAATAATTATTTATTATTATTTATGTTTATTTTGTTAAAACAAAATGTATGGTGGTAAAATTTTATATGCACCACGGACATAATGCTATCTAATACTCTATATTGTTTTCTAATAAAAAATATCTCAACTAATTAGATTTAATTCATTCTATGTGTCCTTTAAATACCTGTTATACAAGGTTTTATTTATCATATTTACAAAAGTAAAAAAAAAAAAAAATTATATTTTATCTCTCATGTTTATGTGAATTAATTAAATTGTGATTAAAACTAAAACAAACACACAAAAATATTTGAAATGATAGAGAATGAAGAGTATCCGTGATTATGAAAAACCGACCAACTTTTTTAACAATAAAAATCAGGCATTTTAGAATTTGACGATTAATCAAAGGAATTTGGAAAGGAAAAAAATTTTCTGGAACAAAATATAAAACTATGAAACATGAGGGCAATGAATATAAATAAATTATTTTAAAATAATACATTAAATATAAATTACATGTTGGGAAATAAAACCAAAATATGTCCCACAATGAGCCAACCAAATTGCGTTTAGACTACAATCAACTGAATTGTTATACTACTTTAAATACATATCAAAATCAAATTTGTTCCAAAAATAAGCTAGTTTAGAACCATAAACCACTAGTACACGACTGTTGTAACACGACGTAAACCACATTGAAAGAACTTACTACAAGAAAAGAAAATTTTGATCTATTTAAATCAATATCTATAACCCAACTAGAAAGATGCAAAATAAGGTTGCCATCCCCCAACTACTCGAAAAAATTTCCATCTTTGCACATGATACCATTATAATGTAAAAATAGAAAAGGTTGAGAAATTAAACCTCAAAAGGAGTCTTCAATTACTCCACATGTATTTGCGAGTACAAATAAATAGGAGAGTATAGAACTTGAGAAAGAATAAAAAATCTCAGAAGTTAAAGTCTTGAAGATCATGTAAAATAAAACTAAAACCTATAGAGAATGAGTGAATGATGTGCAAAACGATCATCGATATGTGTATATAAACCTAACGTAGGCTTACGCATACTAAACTCACATTTAATTGTGAGTCGTGTTTTACTCACAATCTGCGAGTGTACATGCTTTGGTGAAGCGGGCAGGCTTCACGGGAATTCGACATTCATGACTTTGGCGGTCGGGTAGCCTGAAACGCACTCGCGAGGCGATGAAGTCAAGATTCATGAGTCGTCAATAGCTCACAACCCGCAAGTTTTTCTCGGCAGGTAAGACATACACGTACTTGTAGATTACATGTTGTTGACCATTTTGGAAAGGTATGCATGATGAAGGCATACTCGCGGTCCACAAACTACATGTGGTTGGCATGATTGGAAGGGAAGTCATGACGTAAACGGTACTCACAACTTGCAAACTACATGTGGTGGTTCGGTTAAGCATTGAAGATCAAGCAGTAGCGGCGCGTGAAGGTCTTAGCATACGATACGAATCACGCGTGTCAGTCATGACACAACCCAAAATCAACAGAAATAAACAATCTGGATAGTTTTTTCTTATTCTCAGATTCGACATATGACTCACGAAATTTAATGGTTCAATTGATACATAATCCTTCAATTCAATTGATATTCTATAGTACTCTGACCTACAATTCAACAATGGACACAAAGAATACACATGACACAAAGATAGAGTATCATGACATAAAAAACTTCCTGAATAACACGATATAACAAAGAAAAACAAGTACGGACAAAATGGACCGAGAAACCCCCAAATAGTTCAAATGAACTCGACTCACTACGATACAAATGTTGAATATTTGGAAAAAAAAAAAACAACAACAACAACAACAAACATAATAGATAGGCCAACTTGCAACATTTTTTTCCATTTTATTATAGATACTTCCTACAACTATTTGATGTCGTGCATTTGTGAAGAAAGAATGCACATTTTTCTTTTGTTTTAAAAATAAAACTTAAATATGCCCAAACCATAAAAAAAAAATATTGTTTTTTTTCTTTGTAAAATATAAAAACTAGTGTATAGGAGTAAGTTAATAGAAATTTAAATTATTATTTTTTTTCTCAAACCAAAAGCTAGAACTATGACGCGATGAAGTCATTTTAATACACAAGTTTAAAAAGGTAGATTAATATTTCAAGAGAGAGCCCAACATATGTAGCTTAACGATATAATAATTGGACAATAAAATTTATTATTAATATATACTGATATACATAAGAAAATTGACATAGAGAAGGAACAAACAAGTCATTGAAATGTTTACAAAGTACATAATTATCTCTTATTAACTATAGCTCGATTCTGATTCCCCTGTGAGGGGCGTTTCTATTCTCCCGTGGGGAGCGTTCGTAGTTGGCGTGTTGGTGTTTTTTTAGTTTTTTAGTTGTGTGTAGTGTGTCCTCTATTCTAGCGTGGCTAGTGAGGTTCTAGGTGGTCTTTCGATCCATCCTCTCAGTTTTTAGTTCTTGGTTGTATTATTCAGCCTTGGGCTGCTTGTTTTGCACAGTTATGCGTTTTGATATATAATACCTCTATCGTTTCGAAAAAAAAACTATAGCTCGAAGTCCACTCTTTGAAACTAATGATTTCATAATATTTAGTTGAAATTTGATTATTGGAGATGTAAAACATGTTAGTTAGTTAATAACTAATTCACATATATGGTAACCACACAAACTAAAAAAGTAAACAAATAACCATTTACAACTGTTATACATCATGACTAGACATTTGTAGTATATATTGCATGTCACCATACACGTCCTTCAAAACCATTAAGTCCTCTCAGTCTCTCTTCCACATCCATTCCTATAAATACACATTCTTAGTTTTAAACAAAAAAGAGAAATCATATACAAGGTTTGATTGAACCCAAAGCAAACCCAAAGGAACAAAAAATGAGCCACCTCTACACTGTTGTCTTGTCTTCACTCGTCATGAATCTCATTTTTTGTGCGCAATTATGCAATTCGGGAAGAGTATTTTATGACCATATACAACCTCTAAAACCAACTGAATTGGTCTCACCAAGTCATCGTTTTGAGATAGGTTTTATCCCTGCCCCTGACAGTTCCAGGCGCACCTTGGATAGCGGCCTTTCAGATTGTGAAAACAAAAATCCACATTTTTGCCATCCTAATATCCCGAATGCACATGATCTTTATCATTATCGCGTCGAGTTATCGGAAAAAGCAGCACAAAACCCGCCTATTGATCCTTTGGAGAGGGGTCATGTCCCTCCATCTGGCTCTTCAGGCTGCACATACATTCCTGGTACCGTGGGCCCAGACTGTCCTGGCAAGCTGCATTCACCTCGTGCTCCACCGCCTCCGCGACATTACATTGGACACATATGGTCTTCAACTTGGTCATTAAACTAACTTGTTGAGGAACAATTTGTTTATGTATGTCAGAGAAGAAAAAAAAAGGATTAATTATTTATTACTATTTATGTTTATTTTGTTAAAACAAATGTTGATGTCTAAAAATAACCAACAATGTGTTCGAACTGCACACTAAGATGTATGCTCTGTTCGGTCTGCACGAACAGTATTTATGTATGGGATTCGGTTTAATTTATCGGTCCGAATGCTCAGGCTATCCGTGACTTATAGAGTAATTAATGAGAGCATTTACTCATTGTATTAAATGATGTCCTCCTCTCCCTTTTATAGGAAGTTTTGGGACTCTACATTTCCCTCTTGGGGATTTTTACATTTCCTTTTACAGGATATTTTTAGATATTAGTCATTCAACATTTAATGCTAATTGTACTTGACAATCTATTCCCAATATCAGAGTTCCGTCCCGATCATGCCACGCGTCCCCATTTTTCCCTTGCCGTCGGATAAGAGATTTTTTTATATCTTCGCACTTAATGCGTGCAGTACAACTAGCTTCGGGTAATGATTAATCAGATCTCGCTTATTCTCTCCCATCCGTTCGGCAGCGGCCCGACCCCGGAGGCATCCGGTTCCTCTTTTTCCTTACTACCATTCATTCGGTCTATACCACCAACAAAGGCCCTCTGATTCGGGTACCACGTTAGGTATAATCTCCGGTCGTGATGCCCGGATCTATAGATCCTTAACAAACCGAACGTCTCCGCTTCTTTCCGTTCTCCTGACCGACCATCCTCTAATT